CATAGTTAAAACAAACTTTATTTAAATTCGACATAAACTAAATAAAACTTACCAAAACCTTCTTGTTCCAAAAATGCCCAATTTCAATTTGCTGCAACAAACCTCTAATTCGTCGAACCATTATTGTATTCTGTCTGTAAATTACATGGTGCACGCTGTCTCTCTCTAACGTTACTGTTTCTCACTGGTAAAGTTACTCTGAGCTACGCAACCGTTTGTTGCAGGTGCTTAACGAGCGGTCAAGATCAAAGCAGTCCCCGCATTAGTCTCACTTTCATCTTGTAAAATCTGATATTTACTTTGCTCTCTTCGAAAATGGGAGTCCCACATTATTTCATTGCGGTTACCAGCAGGCTATTAGCAAAGCATACTTACAGAGTTGAGCTGAGCGACGGTGGAATCGACCCAGGGCGAGTTGAGCTGGAAGCTGCAAGTGGGAACGTCAGAAAAAGCGCGGACTATTCTTTCTTCTTCCCGAAATGCATTTGCACCCGTGCGTGAATATCGCGAGAAAAAATGAGAACTAATACATTCACTTGATTGACTAACTTTATCCCAACATGAGCTAAATATGTTTGTTCACACTTTCTGCATTTAATGTGCAGTCCACACAATGCTATCACGTTTCACTTAAGAACATAAAACCCTTTAGTAAAATACACTAAATATAATTTGATAAATCTAACAGGTGACCAGTCTCCCTTTTTTTAGTGTAGGATCCTGAAGGAGGCTGTGCTCAGACGCTCCGGAGGCCATCTCTACCCTGCACCGTCGGGTAGCCCTTCTCTCAGGTCTGTTACTGCTACTCCAACACAACACTCGGCAGCTCACACACTCCATCCTCAGTCCGCACGCATTGATGAAGCAGATTCTGCTCAGTCCTGCTCTGGAACCACACAACCGGCATCTCCTCGTCCTCTTTTCTCCCCAACCACACTAATAATTGGTGACTCCATAACCAGAAACCTCCGTTTCTTTAACGCTACCACTCACTGCTTCCCCGGTGCCACCACAGCTGACATTTAAAAAAAACTCCAGGACCTGATGCCATCGCTCCTGTCCTCCATCACAAGAGTGATAGTCCATGTCGGAACAAGTGATACAGCTCTTCGGCAGTCTGAACTGACAAAATCAGATTTTAACCGTCTTTTTAACTTTTTAAAGCAGTGTGGAAAGTCCGTTTTTATCTCTGGTCCCATTCCCACAGTTGGTCGCGGTGCTGGCCGCTTCAGTAGACTCCTTGGCCTCCACGACTGGCTCCAGTCCGCCTGCAGGGCTCATCGTGTGTGTTATGTGGATAATTTTAAAATTTTCTGGCAAAGAATGCCTCTTTTTAAGACAGACGGACTTCACCCAAACAAACGGGGCTCAGAAATGTTAGCTGCGCACATACAGCATGTGGTGCGGTCCACACATGACTTACGTGAATGGCTAATCATTCATGCAGCACACCTGGACACACCACCGCTCACTGAACAGATCTCTGCCTCACTGCCACAAACAACAGTCTCCACCTGCTGGCACGTAAAGCCGTCTGCTCCCAGCGCTGTTCCAAAGACTTCTATTCCTGTCATCATCACGCATAGACCAGTAAACCGAAATGTGCACATCCCACACAGAAATATTAGTAATCTTATAAGGATTAGGACAACTGCACCAACTCCAGCACCCAGAACAAACACATTTAAAATGGCTCTCTTCAATGTGAGATCACTTTCAAGTAAGACTTTTATCTTAAATGATTTTATCTTGTCTGCAAATCTAGATTTTATGTTTTTAACTGAATCCTGGTTGCAGATGAATGACTATAGCCAGCTAGCTGAACTGTGTCCGCCTCAATATGATTGTTTTAGTCAACCGAGGGTAAGTGGTCGTGGTGGTGGGTTAGTGAGCGTGTATAGGAAATATTTAAAATGTCATCAAGTACGCTGTGATGAATTTAACTCCTTTGAAGTTCTCACTCTTAAACTCGGAGGGCTGCAACCTATCATATTTGTTATAATTTATCGCCCCCCAAAACCGCCTGGAGGATTTTTATCAGAACTTCCTGAATTTTTATCTACTCTGGTTTTAAATTATGACAGAATTGTTCTTTGTGGCGATTTTAATATTCATGTTGATGACCCCAACAATGTTAATGCAACTAACTTTTTAAATATGGCCGCTTCTTTTAACTTCAAACAACATGTCAAAGGGCAAACACATAACCATGGTCATACACTGGACTTGGTTTTTACCCTGGGTGTCAGCATTTCCTCTGTGGAACTGGTGGACATGACCATATCTGACCACAGATGTATTGTTTTTAGCTGTGATTCGCCTGTTTCTCATGCCGCCTCACCAAGCTCCGTGTGTTCTCGCATCTTTAATGAACAAAGTGTTTCAAAGTTTTGCGCATTCTTTCAGAGCCAAAGCCAACACCTGTCTGATTCCAACACCAACAATCTGGTCGATCACTTCAATCATATCTGCTTGTCGTCACTAAATATTACTGCTCCTCTAAAGGTTAGGCCTACGTCTAAAGCTAGTAAGCAACCCTGGATAAATGACAGCATTTGCAGCCTAAAAAGGGAATGCAGGAAAGCAGAGCGCAGATGGAAAAAATCCAGTCTCCAAGTCCATTACCTCAGTCTGAAGGATTTATCAATTAAATACAATAACATGGTTAAGGATGCGAGAACACACTATTTTTCTGAACTCATTACTACACATAAACACAACCCCAGGTTTCTGTTTAAGACTGTGGATCAGCTGGTAAACCCAAACCCCTCCTTGTGCCTTTGATCTCTGTTTTCAACAGCTCCCTATCTACTGGTTGTGTCCCTGATTATTTTAAAACGGCTTGCGTGAACCCACTTTTAAAGAAACCTGGTTTAGATCCCTCCCTCCCACATAATTTTAGATCAATTTCAAAACTGCCTTTTATTGCAAAGATTCTAGAAAGAATTGTGTCCAAACAGCTGCTCACTGTACCGGAAAATAACAAAATATTTGAAAAGTTTCAATCTGGTTTCAGGAAGTACCACAGCACTGAGACTGCCCTGCTTAAAGTCACCGATGACCTTTTAATGTCTGCTGATGAAGGCATGTGCTCAGTCCTGGTACTCCTGGACCTTAGTGCTGCTTTTGACACAATTGATCACAACATCATGTTAGACAGACTGAGGCACTGGGTGGGGATCTCTGGTACTGCCCTAGAATGGTTTTCATCCTACCTGTCAAATGGGAAGTTTTGCGTGTCTGTAAACAACTATGTCTCTTCGTTCTGTCCAGTTAAATTTGGTGTGCCTCAGGGATCGGCCTTAGGACCCATTTTGTTTTCCTTGTATCTGCTTCCCCTTGGACATATTATCCATAAACATGGCATTTCTTTTCATATTTATGCTGATGACACACAAATATACTTGCCGTCAGACCCACAGACCCTGGAATGCTGAGTTCACTTAACAACTGCCTTTGTGAAGTTAAAAAATGGATGTCAAATAATTTCCTCCAACTGAACTCAGACAAAACAGAAATCCTGGTCATTGGGTCCCAGCAGATGGCAAAACAAATACTGCCATCTGCTGGTTCCCTAGTAAATCACATTAAGCCTGTGGCAAAGAACCTTGGTGTTTGGTTTGATAGTAATTTCAATTTCGAGCAGCACACCACAAAGCTTGTTCAATCATGTTTTTATCAACTTAGAAATATAGCAAAAATTCGATCTATGTTAACTTTTAAGGACACCAAGACCATTTTACACGCCTTCATCTCATCACACCTGGATTATTGCAACAGCATTTTCACCTGTTTAACCCAAAAATCTATTGATCGACTCCAGACTGTCCAGAACTCAGCTGCCAGGCTTTTAACCAGAACAAAGAAATATGACCACATTACTCCTATTTTAGCTTCATTACACTGGCTCCCAGTATGTTTTAGAATTGACTTTAAAATTCTATTGATCACTTTTAAAGCTCTTCATGGCCTCTCGTTATATTTCTGAACTTTTAGTCCCATACACACCAGCACGTACCTTGAGATCCTCGGGCAGAGGTCTGTTGTCTGTTCCAGAGTCTCGACTGAAAACTAAAGGGGACAGAGCGTTTGCTGTCAGGGCCCCGAGGCTCTGGAACAGCCTGCCCGAGGAAATCAGGTCGGCTGAGTCAGTGAACTCTTAAGTCCCTTCTTAAAACATACTTTTATAGGAGAGCCTTTCCCGATCTTATTTGACTTTATTTTATACCTTTTATTTTATTCTATTTTACTAATTTTATATTTATCTTAAATGTGTATTTTAGTCTTTTCAATGTTTTCATGTTTTTATCTTGTATTGTTTTTGTATTATTGTCTCTTGGGTATTATTGTCTTTACACTTGTTAAAGCACTTTGTAACTTGTTTATTATTATTATTATTATTATTATTATTATTATCTTTTCTAAACATTAATCTGCAGTTCAACACAATCATTATTTGAATCCCATGTTATTATGCTTTCTACAAACATCAAAAACCTAGCTATATAAATTATTTATCTCCATACACAATATATATGGGATTCAAGTAATTCACTTTGTTTGTAAACGTTAAACTTAAATATCCTGCCATCACTCCACTTTCACTCAGAATTGGTTTTAATAAACCAAGTCTGTGATGGAAAGAGATTTTCTTACCTTTTAGTTGGTTTGTATTTTTTGTAATTATTCTCTCTTGAAATGTAATGTTAAAGCAAGTCAGGTATCAGTGGCACTCAAATGTCTGTGTTTTGTATCATTTTGAATGATCTGAGGACGTTAGTCATGTAAGACCGTCAGGGTCTATCAGCCCAGTGAGGATGACTCAGAAATCACAGAAAATGTTTTTTACTGCAGGATCAGCTGTTCATCCATCTTTAATCACAGTCTCACAAATACAAGTAGACACAACAGCTCCTTCAGGCTTCCTGCTGTTCATCTTGAGATCTACTTCCTGTCTGATGAGATGAACTGACACTGACAGATGAAGCTGCAGTCACTGCTGATGGTAAACACCTGATAGTCAAACTTTACTGTTCAAAATGTGCTGAATCAAGTTAACGCATGACTTTTGTTTAGGGTAGAAAAGTTTCAACTTTCACAGTATCCAGTGTACATGCAGGAGTGTTAATCTTTGCTCCAGTGTCAGTCAGTTAAGATCAAAGAGAACACCAGATCTGAGTGTCTCCTTTTAGAAACAGAGGAGAGGGAAACATGATGCTGACTGCCCTCTAGTTACAAAATAATTTATATAATAATATATTTATATATGTATATAATATTATTGTTCACTCTCATGATATGACTCCTGCCCATTGTCAGCTGGGATTGGCTCCAGCCCCCCGCGACCCTGTACACAGGATAAGCTGTATATACATTCATATAGAATAAATTATGTACTATAAATACTAAGAAAAAGCAGCCTGAAGGATGAGTCCTGTAGGTTTTTGTACAGCTGCTCAACCAACTCCAGTCACTGTGAGTCTCGAGCACAATAATAAACAGCAGAATCTTCAGTCTTCAGGCTGTTCATCTGCAGATACAGCTGCTGTCTGTTGTTGTCTCTGGAGATGGTAAACCGGCCTTGAACTGACTGAGAGTAGTAGATCTCCCCACTGTCATATCTGATGATGGCAATCCACTCCAGTCCTTTTCCAGGAGCCTGCCTGACCCAGTGCATCCAGTAGCTGCTGAATGTGAATCCAGAGGCTGTACAGGTCAATCTGTGGGATTCTCCAGGCCTTTTAACCACTGGTTCAGATTCTGTCAGAGTCTGACCATCAACACCTGTTAAGACAGTAAAGAAAACCATAACATGTAACAAACTGACACATTACAAGAAAACATTAATTAAAGATCATTGAAGATCTTCACCTGCCCAGCAGACAGTTAAAAGCAGCAGTCCTGTCCTATAGTCCATCATGTTAAACTGTGTGTCCACTGTTCTCTGTCATCCTCTCTGCAGTCAGATAAGTAGAGGTGGAAGACATCTGAGTTTTGCATTGACTCCTCCTCACAGGGAGAAACTGAATTTGACTTGGATCCTTTACTGGTGAAATTGGTGAATGATTACTATCTTTCCTCCAAGAGTTTCACGTTTCACTATAATTTAGTGATTTTTATTCCTGCATTCTTGAGAATTTTAATTTTAACTTGAAGTACGGTACCTCACAAAATGAGCCATTAAAATATATTTTCCAAACTATATAGCTCTCTTCAAGTAAAGTGTTAACTTCAGCTGAGCCCTTGATTATGATACCTAAATAAACCATATTATCATCAATCTTACAAAATCACTGTGGTTTGGGTTTGCTGGCTTTGACTCTCTTTTGCTGTTGCCCTCATCTCTGCTGTTTGATGTTCACCATGTCAGCGCCAGTACTGGGGCCGCTGACCAGTGGGAGGTGTAGTACTGAAAATCCTTACATAAGTAAAATTATAATTTGACAAACCTACTCATGTAAAATTATAAAAGTACTTGGTTGATAAACTTTCTAAAGAACAAGTTACTGTTTATTTTAATATTGTTATAGTGTGTGCAGGCCGGAGAGCTTTTTCTTTTTGGAATAATGTGTGTTCCATCAGCTGTGCATCAGATTAGGCACTTTGCAACATGGTTATTTCTAAGGAATGTATGTTGCTTGTTGATTATTAGCAGAAATTAGCTATTTCATTACAATAAAACACTTGTAAAGAGTAAAAATACAGTTTTTATTAAAAGGACTATGAAAAGTTTGCAACAAATTTTTACTCATTGGCTTAAACTCCCAGTTCTTCCGATGGTCATTCTGGTCCTGGACTTTGACAGTGATTTATCAATTAATTAAATTTTAATAGAAAAAACAATAAATAATAACCTTAACAGAAGTAATGTTGTTGTGCTACATAATGACAACAAAGTGCTTGAATCTCATATTAAATGTTGTTTATGTTGTAATGTTGATTTTGATGAAGTGAAGGACATCTGGGGAAAGAAATCCCCTGTAGAAACAAATTAAGTAAACTGTCAATATTGTGATAATATTACAAGAAATTGTTCAGTCAGACACATCAACTCTGTTGTGTTCTGTAAATCAAAAGTTCCAGTGAAAAATAAAAGGTTTATCATCTCTGTAAAAAAAAAGCTAGGTTTTGCATTGACTCGTCTTCATAGGGAGGAAAGATTTTGGCCTTTTGTTTGTTGGACTTGAAAAACAATAATGTACAAGTTGCAACACCAGCCACATAAATTAGATTTAGTCAAATTAAATTTGAAACTTGCTTAATATGAATTGTCTTCAAAAGTTAAATGTTGTGTTTTATCAAGTGATCCTCCAACAAACACCTTTAAACATACTCACTAATGAATTATCATGAAACTAAATCTTGACCTTGCCAAAACGTGAGGTGACATTATGTTTTGTGTTTACCCATCTTAATCTGACTGTAGGTCCATGAAGTGATTTTAATAATACAGTAAAGAAAAATCTGACACACACATACAGTTCAATTCTAACACAATGAGAACAAATATAATATTATAATTATTTTTATTATTATTATTAATCAGTATAAATAGCAGTCAGACAGAGAAGAATTTTTTTGGAAAATGCCTCCACTGTATATTAATATTATTATTATGATATAGTAAACCATGTTAAATTGCCCTTTACTTTTTCAATGCTAAATATGTCTGTTTCTTTCTGTAACAGTGAACTGGTGTTGAAGTCATTAGTGGTCTGAGGGCTCCTCCTCTGGTGGCTTCATGTTACAAGTGTTCAGGCACTGAGGGGTTTTTGTTCAGGTCTACTGATGGTTTGTGTTATTGTGTCTCTCTGGCACAGTAACACACAGCAGTGTCTTCAGGCTGCACATTCTGTCCGTTTAGAGTCATACTATAAAAAAATTTAATTCTTAGGCTCTACCAGCTTAAAGAGGAGTCTCTGTGAGACTTCTTCAGAAGGATATTGTGCAGGCGGAATGGGTGGTGCCTGTGCAGCGTGATGTGAATTTGCATTTTACCAGTCAGAGATTTTGGACATACAGTGTTGAGACAGAAAGACTAAATCTGTCAGAGAAGGAGGAGTGCTGGAGTTTGAGAGAGAGTGGATTAAAAACAAACAGAGACACCAACAATAAAGATGCAGTTCAGTCTTTCACCTCTTTGAAATGTGTTTGTCTAGTTTTTCACTGGTGTGTATTAGCAAACGAGACTCAGAATAAGAATGTGTACTTAAAAAGAACATTTAAACAACTTTCATTTCAAAACTGATCGCACACCTTGGTGAATGGATTACTGCTAAAACAGAAAAATTGTGAGAAAGGAAGACCGTTTTCCTGCAAGAGCCCAGGAAGAGAGAATTTCTCTTATTGCAGTGTCACTTATTCTTTCAGCTTTCATCACAATGTCTCAGAAAAGAAGAAACAGCAACTCTTTCACTCCTCCAGCTATTTATCTTCAGCAGATTTTTCCCTCCCATATTGTGACTGACTTTGGATGCCAAATAACCTGAATGTGATTGAAATGTACACATGTAGTATTTTTTTATTCACACAAAGATTTCAGCAGATTTGCTGTCGCTGACTGTTTTGAATGTGAAAGTGTTCATTACAGTTAAACAGTTTTACCAGCTCATATTGTTTTCACCTCCTGAGTCTGTGTCTCTGTCATGGTGGCAAAATGTGGTCCTGGAATTACCTACTGTAGCACGAACTACCACAGAGGTGATTTTCAGTACTTTGCCAGATATTTATATGTCTGTGGACAAATTTGCAAAACGCAGTAGTCTCACAACTTTGCAGGTGTTTAGTTTAGATCAAAATGAAGGTTGCCGAGCAAGGGTGCCAAAAGTTGTGTCGCGGTGGCAGCCCGGCTGTCGGTGAGTGTCCTGTTTCTCCTTTCCCTCACATTCTGGTTTCTCCTGTGCCTCCTCTCTCTCTCTCTGTGTGTGCTCTCTCCCTCCCTGCTCCGGAGCCCGGCTGGCTACCCACACCTGCACCTCGTTTACCTCCATCCCCAGCCGCCGCACCTGCCAGCCATCAGCCTCATCACAGCCAGTATATCTACCCCGGCTTTCCACTCCATCCTCGCTCGATCGTCGCAGCTCTTGACCTGGTGTCGCCGCTTCGTTCTGGCTTTTTCTTCTTATATTCCTTTTGCCTCACGTCCTCTCTGCCTACTAACCCTGTCTCTCTGTTTCTTCCGCCAGGTTCACTCACCTCTGCCTCCCAGCTCGGCCAGCCGGGCTCGCTCGCCTGCCTCCTCCTCTCGCCGCCTCCACGACGCCCCCCCCCCGGCTTCTCCTCTCGCACCCCGCCTGGACCCCAGTCTCCACGTCCTCTCCTATCCGTTTGCCAGCCTCCCTCAAGCCTCCAGCCTAGTGCCCTCCGTTCCTCCAGCTCCTCGGTTCCCCGTGTCCTCGTCTGCCTCTCCCCCTCCTTCCACTCGCCCTCGCCTCGAAACTGCTTTTCCTCAATAAACCTCTTTTTCTACCCTCAGCGTTGCGTTTGGGTCCGTTCTGTCTCCCACTGTTACAAGTTGTTGCATGTACAGTACACATGAAATATTGATGACTGAGTACTCATTGGTCGGAATGTCAACATGTTGGCAGCGTCATAGCTGTGATCTCCACACAAGATTGTGTTATTTGTGTGTTTGGTAATTGTTGTTGGTTAATGATGGTTTTAACAGTTTACATGATTTTACATAAAACCTTTTTTTTTTTTTACATAAATGAATGAAAATCTAATTATTTCATAGGATCTGTCAGCCCAGTGATGATGAGTTGTGCAGTGTAGGATTTTGTACAGCTGCTTAACCAACTCCAGTCACTGTGAGTCTCGAGCACAATAATAAACAGCAGAATCTTCAGTCTTCAGACTGTTCATCTGCAGATACAGCTGCTGTCTGCTGTTGTCTCTGGAGATGGTAAACCGGCCTTGAACTGACTGAGAGTAGGATTTGCTGCTGCCACTACCACTATCAATCCAGGCAATCCACTCCAGTCCTTTTCCAGGAGCCTGTCTGATCCAGTGCATCCAGTAGCTGCTGAATGTGAATCCAGAGGCTGTACAGGTCAATCTGTGAGATTCTCCAGGCCTTTTAATCACTGGTTCAGATTCTGTCAGAGTTTGACCATCAACACCTGTTTAGAAGATAAAATTGCACACAGTGAAATAAGCTGCTGACACCAATAAAATATATGTAATAATTAAGTTCAGTGAAAATCATCACCTGCCCAGAAGACAGTTAAAAGCAGCAGTCCTGTCCTATAGTCCATCATGTTAAACTGTGTGTCCACTGTTCTCTGTCATCCTCTCTGCAGTCAGATAAGTAGAGGTGGAAGACATCTGAGTTTTGCATTGACTCCTCCTCAAAGTGTGGAACTGATTTGACTTGGATCTCAGCTACTGTTTGGCAAACAGGATAATCACTGTTTACTGTACTGTATAAACACATTCTTTAATTTGTTTATTACGCACAGTCTACAACATGTGAAGAGTCTATAATTAATCAATACATTACACCAAAGGTAAGCATATTATCTATAAATTCTTCAAAGACAACGGTTTGTTGTAACTAAATTATTTGTTTGATTGAATGTGCCCCTCTGACAAAACATCTGGCCCATCTGGTTTTGTGTAGGAAAATTGTTCTCATAAAAATGTTGGTGTTCAATCTGCAAATCATGTGGAAGATGTTATCTTTTTTTATATTTACCGAAATGTACATTTTTGTATCACATGCATGATATCAATCAATGTCATTACAAAGATGCATGGAAACGGTTTCACTACACTAATACAGCATTGCATGAAACATTGCTTTAAAGGACAAACAACAAAAATGTATTTTTTTCCTTACAAATTAAGAATTTATTTTATTTGTTTGTGTAGGTTGGAACTTCAAAATTCAATCAGTCACTACTCAGACTTTCCATCACTGAGAGTAACACAAATAATACTGAATATTGCCATTGGTAGTGGTAAACAGAGGAAGTAGTTTTTGTACAGCTCTCCTGTTGTTGTCTCTCAATGTGGATCTCTGGCACAGTAATACACAGCAGTGTCTTCAGGCTGCACATTCTGTCCGTTTAGAGTCACTGTGTTGCTGGAAGAGTCTAAGTCGATACTGAACTTGTTCTTTAGGGAATCTTTGTAGTGAGAGCCTCCTGTATATTTCATTCCAATCCACTCCAGTTCTTTCCCTGCAGGCTGTCTGATCCAAGCTGTGTAGCTGCCCAAAGAATAAGAGACCTGACAGGTGATGGTCAGACGTTGACTTGGCTGCACAGTCACAGAGGCTGGCTGTGTCAACTGTTCACACTTCACACCTGTTAAAAAAAGAAAATGTTTTGTAACAAATGATCAAGTTAGAACTGCTGACTTTGACAAATCCAGAGAGACTCACATCCAGCTGCCAACAGCAGCAGCAGAGCTACAGAAAACATGGTTTATGTTGAAAGTGACGTGCTGTGAACTCCACTGACAGCCTGATGGGAAGTTTTTATAGCTGAGTAACAAGGAAGGTCACTGAGTTTGCATAGAATCAAACACATGAAGCATCAATGTTGGTCTAACTGGAGCCAATAGAAGAGTCTGTTGACTGTTATTATATCTGCAGAGTGAAAACATGCCTGGAAATCACCTCTGCTTTACATATGATGTTTTAATTTCATAACACATTATTTTATTGTTACTATTTGTAAGTGGAAATTTACATGAATCACAGATAATGGAAAACATATTCAATAAAATCAGCTTTGCACAGTGTGTTTAGCATGTTTAAATAAATTATTAAAACACACTTTAAACATGATGCGATCTGTTTTTTCTTCAGATCATTTATTTACTGTCAGCACCTCCTACATCACATTCATGATTATGAACTTCAAACCTCTGAGCACATTTCTTTGTAATTGCAGCATTTATTTATTTATTTATTTGCTCACTTACTGTATTCACTGCAAACAGAAATACAGAGGCAGCAGCCAAGATCATTTACATAGTAAGAAAAACTTAAGTCTGATGCTGCTGGTTTGAAGGATTGGACCTAAAGGTCTTGAACTTGAACTTGAAGATAAAGACATATAGCCCTTTAAAAAGCTGCTCAAGAACTGAAACCTCAGTGACTAAATGCAAAAAACTAAATATTTTCGAAATATTATTAGATGAAAACTAAAGTAGTTCACACATTTATAAGTTACCTTTGTGATTTTCACAAAATTTTACCTTTATCTGTGTCTGATTATGTCAAAAATAAAAATATCATTCTATGTGGTTAACTGTTGATGTTTGTTTGTTGTTTTTGTTAAAACTTAAATATGCTGTCTGACTTTTCTGTTCAAAATGTGCTGAATCAAGTTAACACCTGACTTTTGTTTAGGGTAGAAAAGTATCAACTATCACAGTATCCAGTGTACATGAGCAGCTGGAGTGTTAAGCTTTAGTTCAGTCCAGGGTTCAAGTGTCAGTCAGTTAAGATCAATGAGAACAGCAGATCTGAGTGTCTCCTTTTAGAAACAGAGGAGAGAGAAACTTGACACTGACTGCCCTCTAGTGATTTTATGTGAGAAACAAATTATTTTCTCTTTCATACTGACTCACTTTAGATTCCACATAATTTAAAGACTATTATTGTGTCTAAATGTATAGACATGTATGTATTTGTAACTTCAGAAAACAGATTGTTGTGTTGTGGCAGTTTTATGAACTGAAGTGATCTTCACTGTGTTTTTTTTTTTATGAATTTAATGTTTGATACAAATATTTTTCAGAAACACTCTTCAGGACTTTGCATAATCCATTATTCACAAAAATATGTAACATGAAATATATACTGTAAAACAATAAATAAAAAATAAATATAAACAATAATATATAGAACAAATCATGTAATATGAATGTAAAGAAACGTCATGCTTGGTCTCTACCAGCCTGAAATATGAGTCCTGTATGTTTTTGTACAGCTGCTCAAGCGACTCCAGTCACTGTGAGTCTCGAGCACAATAATAAACAGCAGAATCTTCAGTCTTCAGACTGTTCATCTGCAGATACACCTGCTGTCTGCTGTTGTCTCTGGAGATGGTAAACCGGCCTTGAACTGACTGAGAGTAGAATTTGCTGTTACCATCAGTACTGATTATAGCAATCCACTCCAGTCCTTTTCCAGGAGCCTGTCTGACCCAGGCCATATAGTAGCTACTGAATGTGAATCCAGAGGCTGTACAGGTCAATCTGTGGGATTCTCCAGGCCTTTTAACCGCTGGTTCAGATTCTGTCAGAGTCTGACCATCAACACCTGTCAAAAGGATAAAAAAGAATCAAGTGAAATAAGCTGCTGACACAAATAAAAGATAAAGTTAAGATCAGTGAAGATCTTCACCTGCCCAGCAGACAGTTAAAAGCAGCAGTCCTGTCCTATAGTCCATCATGTTAAACTGTGTGTCCACTGTTCTCTGTCATCCTCTCTGCAGTCAGATAAGTAGAGGTGGAAGACATCTGAGTTTTGCATTGATTCCTCCTCACAGGGAGGAACTGGATTTGACTTGGATCTCAGTTACTGTTTGGCAAAACCAGAGAATCAATGTTTACTGTACATACTGATTCCTGCAAGAGTTTTATGTTTCAGTATTTATTTGTGCAATACATTGATAAACACATTCTTTAAGTTGTTTATTACACACAGTCTACAACATGTGAAGCGTTTGACAATAATTTATCACTAAGTTATATAATAGTTTAACAGCTTAACAAATATTTTTTATTATGTTATAATATTGACTTTCTCACAAAGTGTTCATAAGTAAAACCATTTTCAGGAAATCAGTCCGAGATTTTGGAGATACAATGTTGTTGTCAAAAGGACTAAAATCTGTCAGAAAAGGAAGTGTGCAGGACTCAATGGGTTAAAAACAGACAGACACACCAACAACATAAATATATCAGTGGATACACCAGCAAGAATAAAAATAAGAAAACGTTTGATTATATTACAAGACATTGTCCAGTCACACATAAATTCTGTTTTGTTATGTAAAATAAAGTTTGTCATCCTTCCTACAGTCACATTAGTGAAGTTGTAAAACAGTTAGGTTTTGCATTAAAACTAAATTTAAAACCTTCCTCAATACGAATTTCCCTCAAAAGTGGAATTGTGTGTTTTATCAAGTGATAAACAACAATATTAAACATTCTTGTAAACTATGATGACACAAAATCTTGACTTTGCAAAAAAAGATGACATTGTTTTTACCCATCTTAATATGACTGCAGGTCCACAAAGTGATATTCATATTACAATGGAGAAAATTCTTACACAAACGGTTCACATGTAACAACAGGAAGAAAAATAATATTACTATTCTCTGTGAAACCAGAGAATCAGTGTTTACTGTACATACTGATTCCTCCAAGAGTTTCATGTTTCAGTATTTATTTGTGCAATACATTGATAAACACATTCTTTAAGTTGTTTATTACGCACAGTCTGCAACACATGAAGAGTTTGACAATAATGAATCAATAAATTATATTTTAATAGACAAAAACAACAAATAACACCTTAACAAATGTTGTTTATTATGTTATAATGTTTACTTTCTCACAAAGTGTTCATAAGTAAAATAATTTTCAGGATATCAGTTGGAGAATTTGGAGATACAATGTTGATACAAAAAGACTAAAATCTGTCAGGAAAGGAAGAGTGCAGGAGTCTGAGAGAGACAGTTGGTTAAAAGCAGATGGCTACACAAACATAAAGATATCTGTGAATACCCCAGCAAGACTAAAAATAAGAAAACTTTCCCAGTCAGACAGCTCTTACATTATGTAAAACAAAAGTTTCAGTGAAAACTACAAAGTTTGTCATCCTCCCTGCAGTCACATTAGTGAAGGTGGCAAACAGCTAGGTTTTGCATTAACTCTAAATTTAAAACTTTGTTTAATACGAATTTCCCTCAAAAGTAGAATTTTGTAATTTATCAAGTAATCCTCCAACAAACAACAATATTAAACATACTCACCAACTATAATGAGACAAAATCTTGACTTTGCAAAAAATGTGACATATATTTTCTTTTTACCCATCTTAATCTGACTGCAGGTCCACAAAGTGATATTCATATTACAGTGGAGAAACTTCTTACACACACGGTTCATTTGTAACAAGAGGAAGAAAAATTATTTTATTGTTAATTTTTAGTAATGACAGTCAGACAGAGAAGATTTGTTTTGGAAAGTTTTGCATTGACTCCTCCCCACAGGAAGGATACAGGTGGAATGAACCTGTTGTGAGTCGAGCCAAATTAATAACGTCTCAATTTCTATTGAGTTTAGTGTTTTGAGTTTTAGTTGTTTAAAATACAATTTCAAGTCAGATAATATTTTACATATGAATTATTCACAAGAGAAATCAGTACACACATATTTAAACTGCTATTTTTGTTGGTTTCCCTGTTTAAAAAACTACATAAGATTGCGTTCTTACATTACATTTCATTTAGCTGACCCTTTTATCCAAAGCGACTTACAATTGCCATACATGTCAGAGGTCGCACGCCTCTGGAGCAACTAGGGGTTAAGTGTCTTGCTCAGGGACACAATGGTGGATGGGTCACAGTGGGAATGGAACCCAGGTCTCCCACACCAAAGGTAAGCATATTATCTATAAATTCTTCAAAGACAACGGTTTGTTGTAACTCAATTATTTGCTTAATCCCTCACCAGAAATATAATTTCCATGACAGACATCTTATGTTTTTTACCTCAAACCAAGCTTCCAAGGTGATTTTTATGCTATAAAAGCTGAAAACAATGTTTTAAAATGACATTCATGTTAATAACTTTTATTTGTTTCACTTTTGAACATCACCACAAAGTTTGCTTAACCTTTCCTTCTTCTATACTCCTTATGTTAGTCTGTCCTCATTTACTTGGGTTTAGGTCAGAGCTGTGAGATTGTTTTGGTGTTTCCCCCTCTTGAGAGAGGATCTCTGTTCCCCAAATCATAGAAACTGTCTCGGTTTCTATGTTTTGGGTAACAGTTTCCGTTACTAATGTTGTTCAGATAATTATCAGTATAGTTTTATTTAAGTAATAACTTTAGGGACGAGATACTGACTTTCTGAAGATCTGTTCATTGTCAACTGAATGCATTTCATTACTTGAAAGATATAATCTTTAGAAATGTATTGATTCTTCACTGTGGGAAAAAATTCAATGACTTATCAGTGATTGTAATGTCAGAGTATTTAAATTGTTTAAAACAGTTGCTGTTAAATGGTTTGAGTTATTGTGGCTCTCCGACACAGTAATACACAGCAGTGTCTTGTGTAAACACTATTTAAAAATCCTAGAGTGCTCTTTTGATTCTACATGTTAAGCTTTAACATGGGGCGGCTGTGGCTCAGGAGGTAGAGCGGGTTGTGTGTGAATGTTAGTTTCTGCTTCAGC